GATGATGACGATGATGATGAAATAACTTTTAAAATGGCTAAAGGAATGAACAGGGTTTGGCACACAGACACACTGGCCTCTGGCCTCTGCAGGCTGCTCCTCCCCAGGGTCCCTGCAGGTTCCACTCCTCCTTCCAGTCAGGTCTTCTTAGCAATGCTCTGACAACCACATCTAAATTAGCACCTGGGACTGGAGAGATGGATGGCTCAGCAGTTAAGAGCACTGGCTGCTCTTCCAGAGGACCTGGGTTTGATTCCTCACACCCACATGACAGCTACCTACCATATCTAACTATAGTTCCCTCTTCTGGCCTCTATGGACACTACACACATGTGGTACCATAGATACACATATAGGCAAAACACACATATGCATAAAGTTAAAAAAGAAAAATCTCACAAAAATAGCACTTGTCACCACCCTGATTACTCTATGTCCCCTTTCCCAGAAATTTGTATACAAATTATTTAAAATAATAAAAATGCAACGAGTAGCTGGACACAAGACACACAAACACACTCTATATGCAGGCATCTCCATAGAGAGAGGAGTTATAAATCCAGTAGAAGATTCTACTTAACAACAGCACACAAGGATAAAGTAGGATTCAACTTTAGTGAGATATTGGAGAGGCTGACTAAAAGTTCCTTTGGAGGAAAAATTGGTACAATCCAAACAAATTTGAAATCCATAGCAACTCTATTCCTAGAATCTTTATAGCACAGGCAAATACATATGCCCAAAGGTACTAATTTCAGTACTGTTTACAAGACCTGAAGAATGAAAACAATGTAACTACCATTTAAGAGGATAGTTTTAGAAAAATAAAATATACCTGTGTAATACATGGAAATTAAATATAAAGTAAAAGAATGGGCTGGATATACAATGGATAGACCTAGCGCAACCTCCAGATATATTCTAAATAGAAAACAATATATAAAACATGCTATACATCTGTGCTTCTATATTTTTACATTTATCTTCACGTGTATACGCTTGTGTGCATTTCACATGCCTGTCATAACACACATGTAGATATCAGATGACAGTACCTGGGAGTCAGTTCTCTCCTTCCACCATCTGGGTCCCACAGACTGAACTTGAGTTGTCGGGGGGAGGGAGGGTTGACAAGTGCTTTACCTGCTGGCCCTTCGTCTTTCTCTGTCGCTGTGCTTTCAAACACTGTAGGTGTCTATACACACACCGGTGGAGTGAACAGTGTGCATTGAGCCCTTTTAAAAATGTAATTAGTATGTGAGAGCCATGATTTATACATGGGCTCTTTCTAGGAGGATAAACATAGCATTAGCATCTCTGCCTAGGAGAATGAGGAACCTGGGGTCTCCCATTTAGTACTCATGGACTCCCCACCTATGTAATGAATGTACTGCTTAAAAACTCAAACATAAAAATTACATAGTGAAGTGAAGTTGGCCCTTTAGTAAGGTATTGTTATCAGATACTAGAACTGTAACAGAGGAATTCTAGGGCCAAGTTCCTGTTCCAGGTTGCAGCAATGAGCTGCTTTCCAGCAGGCTGAAAAAGCAGACTTTTAGAACTTCATTTTCTTCAGTGATGAGTTAGGCCTTTGACATCTTCCTATGGATTACATTAATATGGTAGATGTTACTAATACCTAACAATAGCTAACAAGTTGTATGACATCTTTTGAAGACATTTCAATGATTTACTTTTGAGTGTAAACACACACATTTGGAACAGTTGGCCATTGAAATGATGTTCGTTATGCTCAGGCATCTTGTAGACTATCTCTGCTTTTGTTTCTTTGCTCTGTCAATCAGTGGCTCTTTCTGAACAAGGTTTCTTATAGCAATAACAGACAACTACTTCATTACAAACAGAAGAGTCAACACAGGCATGAGGCAGAGACTTATCTCATTGTCAATGACCGTTAGCTTACAGACGCGTGCTACTTAGCTGAGCCTGGAGCATGTAGAATCAGAAAGTGGGGACACACTCCAAAGGGCATGGGTGCAGCCTACACTGCTGAAAGATGGCAGTAACTACTTCCTCTGAAGGGCCTCCTACTGGCCAGAGCTGGGACAATATGAACAACAGACCACATGACAACAGCCTCAGAGTTTAGCCACAGAATAAAATAAGCACTTTGAGTTCCTACTAATATTGAATAAGAACTCTGAAGAGCAAAATGTAAGAGAAGCAACAACTTCCTTTAGGAGAATGCAACCATAAATACAGAAAACACAAAAGAAAGAGAAAACCACTCTGAGACAACCACCACAGTAATGGCTGCCACAGGCAAAACTACTTGGACAAAACCCAAGGAAGGAGTAGGATCTGCACACTCTAGAACAGAACCCCAAGAAATGTGCTGATCTGAAACAGAGATAAGAACTGCACAGGGGAGAAACTCATCAAGCGACTAAAGTCAGCATCATCACTAGTAAGACACAGGGAAGACTCGAACTCACTCTCGTTTTTTTTTTTAACCAAATATGCCCATTTTCACTACAATCATGAGAAAATTCCACACACACCCAAACTGAAGCTGACAGAATCAGTGACCACTATTCAGGAAAGATACCAAGATCATGAAACATGCAAGAAACATAGCAGAGGCTCCTGCCTGGGATAAAGAAAGGACATGAGAGTAAAATCTGATCAAGGCCAAGGAAAGTATGTAGCTTAGTTCAAGTACTGCAACAATGCTAACCTTGTGATTGTAACAATCGAGAGTGTGTGTGTGTGTGTGTGTGTGTGTATGTGTGTGTGTGTGTGTGTGTGTATCTTTAAGTTATAGTATAACAATTTAAAGAGAATTCCTTTGAGGATATCAAAATTTTAAATCTATTATCTTTCAACAGGCAACACAACAATATGGTTTTTATAAGGGATATCAAAAGTATAAAAATGGAAATGTATTTGAGGAAAAAATATCTTACTCATAAATAAAGATACTGTCAGGTTTAACAGTTGGCCAGTGGTGGCCACTACAGAGAATAATCAATTTATATGGTTATGTAAGGGTTAGCATCTGCGTAAGTCTAAAACTAGTTCTAGCAAAAATTTCAAAAGCTAATATTTGAAAATTCAAAAACAGTACTTTCCTTGGCATAAATGTGGGTGGTGTGGTAGCATTAAAAACTATTCTACACTCACCCATGTTTGAGGAACTCTAAAAGGCTGGGTTCACTGTACAGGGAGAGTTTTATATAGACAGCTCTCTCTATGAGAACTAGCCTGAGGCAGGAGAATTGCTGTAACTGAGGCCAACCTGGTTACACAGTAAGACTCTGGAAAGCAAACCAAACTAAAACCAAAACCCAACACCCTCACTCCCCAGTTGTTCGAAAGAGACTGGCAAGTCAATATCCTTTGCTTGCTTTTAACCCCCACCCCCACTGAGGTAATAGAATCACTTTATAAATCGTTAGGGCAAAGGACCTCATGAGGCTTATTCCCAGCTTTAATGCTGATAACAAACTGCTTCGGTTTGAAATTTACCACTTTGGGGTCATATGAAATAAGCAAATGTCAAGGCTTCAAGATTCTGAATCCCTGGTTCTGTTGTTGTTTGAGGCAGGGTCTCTCACAGCTCAGGCTGGCCTTGAACCTTGAACTCTATCTTTAGCTGTAGCTCGGGTTGGCCTCCAACTCACCCCTTCTGCTATCACTGCTTAGATGCTGGGATCACAGGCATGCTATCACATCTACATTTCTTGGCCCATTCTTTATGCTCAAATATGACAGAGAAAAAAGGAAGTTAATCTTTCCAAGTATTATTGTCATGTTCTTCCCAATTCATTAGACATAATAATTTCTCTATTTTCATTTTCTGTTTTGGTGTTGGGGTTTAATCTATGACTTTGTACACACTAATCACATACTGTACCACTGAGCGACACTGCCAATCCTACTTCTCTATTTTATTTTATTTTTAAAATTTATTTTTAGAATTATCATTAGTGTGTGTGCGTGAGTACACATGCCATGGTGTGTACATAGGGTTCAGAAGGAAACTCTGTACAGTCAGTTCTCTTTGTTGCACCTTTCCATGGGTCCCAGGGATGGAACTGAGGTCACCAGGCCTACAGACAAGTGCCTTCACGCCTAAGCCATCTCTCCAGGCCCTACTTTTCTGTTATAAACAGCTACTTCCTTACTTGGAATACGCCGGCGAAACCCAATATGGGTTATCTTCGGCTGCTTTGGCATGACGCAAAATGGCTTCTCGAGGGTTACTGTCATCAGTCTTGTCCAAAGCAATGTTTTTCACAATGTAGGACGACAGGGTGCCCCC